GGCCGCGGGAGGGGGTGGCTGCAAGTACCACAAAGGGGCCGTGGCCGACGTAGTCCCGCCGGAAACGGCAGCAGGGGCTGCCCGGTGCAGGTCGGCGCGGAGAACGGCTGCAGCGGTCCGGTGGCCGCCGCCTGTGGCATCTGCTGTAGCAGCCAGGGGCCCGAGGACGGCGTCGGCGCCAAGGGCCAGAGGGGCGCGCCGTACGAAGAGACGCCCTGGGGCGGCCACGCCGTGTGGCCGTAGGCGGCAGCGGGCGCCGTCGGCGGGGGCATGTAGGGCCCGGCCCCGGCCGCGTACTACTGCTGCTGTTGCAGGTGGAGGCTCTGGACGGCGGTGACGAGGTCCTGCAGGGTGGCCGTGACCTGCTCCAGCGTGAAGACGGCAGACGGCGGTGGCACAGGAAGACCCGGGGATGGCGGCGCGGGCGGGGTGGCGGTGGAGACGGGGCCCGCCAACGCGGTTGTCCCAGCGGCGGATGTCGCCGGCGCGGTGAGGGGCGGCGCCGTAATCATCGGCGCGGTGGAGCCGCTGGATTGTGCCGGCGGTGGTGGTGGCAGCGACATGGTCGTAACTTGGTCTCTGATTACCAAATTGATAGGACTAGGGTTCCCACCGGCTCTACTTCTTAGGTTATAAGGGCAGAACAGCGGAGGTTGGGGGCGAAGGCGCGTGCGCGTGCGCCGGCGAGTTGGCATCGTCGCGAGGAAGGAGAAGGGTGGCGGCGGCGGCTAGGGCTGGCGCGGCTAGGGTTCCGGCTCCTCTGAAAGCCGGGCAATAGGGATAAGAAATATCTTTATTGCTTAATTCCGAAAAGAGTCTTACAGCCTATATTTATAACCTAGATAATTTGCATAATAATTAATTTAAAATAACTTGTGAGCCAAGCCCCTAACTACTGCCCGGTGGACCTCCTTCAGTTATAAGCTAAACCGGTCATAACAACGAGACAATTTTTTTTCAAAGGGTTAGCGTGTTCCGTTTTCCAACCTAAAAAGGTGGATTTTTTGAGAGATAAACTAACGCGTGCAAAGAAAAGAAAAATAGATAAACTAACGCAAAGTGTATATGCAACTGATGGTTATTTCTGAGACACCACAAGACGCACCATTACCGTCCTGCAAGGTAATTCCCGGGAAGCCGTGCACAGCACTAAACTGTCCAATCTCTTGCTTAGTGCTCTAAGCACTTATAGGTTGTTGCTTCAAAGGTAGTATGAACTTCGGTGTAAACCCGTTCCTTCAGAAAGCTCTCTACACCTTTGAGTTCCATGTATGACGTTATGAATCGTACGTCATTTCTTCCTCTGCTGATTAAATAACTGGACTCAGAGCTCGTGATTGCCTAAAAGGCACATGTCTCGGGACTAGACTATGTACTCCTACTACGTATGTGTTACCTGCGTTGAAGCCCTCCAAGTTTCAACATTGTTTGGTGACTAGACGACTCGATCACGAAATGGGGAAGGAAACTAGGAGTCGTTGTGCACTTTCTGTCAAAAGTTTCTAGGCGAAAACGAGCCATTTGTGGATCTCTTATGCGCATGGTTTCCCTGATACACTGTCTTAGTGCCGTGCTCCCTAAGGTATCCCCGAAGTGGGTAACCATCCTTTTTGTTTAATATACTGTAATTGGGAATTGTGGAGATAGGGACAATCTGACATCAACAATCTTTGCTTGTAATATTCCCTTCATCCAAAAATACTTGTCATCAAAATGAATAAAAGAGGTGTATTTAAACGTATTTTAGTTCCATATACATATCTTTTTATTCATTTTGATGATAAGTATTTTTGAAAGGAGAAAGTAATTTTTATTGGTCTGGACTTTTGGGTGCCACATTGAGCACTCATTTATACCCCACCAAAGAAAACAACACCAGACCCCTTAAAAAAAAGAAAACAACACCACCGTGAAGACTGAAAACATTGTCCAGCACAGAATCAACCTCTTTTCAGCGAAGAATCAACTTTTACGAAATCACTGCAGAATTTCGTGGCTATCACCACTGTTTGTTTTCCTTGCGTGTCCAACCTTCCGATGAACTCGTAGAGTGGTGGTTGTTTCAAATTTCTGTTCTCTCTCTCTCTCTCTCTATGTACCAAAGCTCATGCGTGTTGTTTTGGTCAGTAAAAATGCTTATTTTTTTCATGGCACTGTCCTTATTCAGATGTTTCTTTAGAGAACCTTATTCAGATGTTTTGACTGAACATAACCGCATTAGTCTTAGTCAGTTACTTTTGACCATGCGGGCCGCCCATTCCACGGTGATACTCTTCTTCACGTACTTTATTCCAGAAAGCGTATGCTCTCATTTTATTTTGAGCCACCTAAAGCAAGTTCATTGTCCTGTGGAAGCAAAGCCATACGTGCCAACCTGTAATTTTCCGTCACTCTTGAACTACATAGACACAAGAAAAACTTAACAGTTATAATAAAGAGTCGTCCGGGATTTGATCGCTTCAGGTTATTTTATTTGTGCTTGCTTAGGCATGGTTTTGGTCTTATAAGACTTTGCTATTTGCCGACGAGTGTTTTATGTGTGTGAATTGATATTGGTTGTGTGCATTCTAACTATGCAGATGCCAGATGTGTGTTTATTTTAATTTATATTTACTTGATGCATCATTTTGAATAATAAAATCCACGCTTTGTCAAAAAAAGAGTCGTCCAGAATGAGGCGCCCTGTGGGGCTTAATCAGCCATCGGGGCTTAATCAGGTCAAACCCGCAACCATGTCAAGGAGGCACCGTGGAACTCGCGCGGCCAGGCCGGGGAGCGCGCGCGGCGCCGGGTGGTGCCGGGCCCAATCAGGGACGGTCAGGTGCGCCAGGTAGCACGCGGTTGGGGCGGGCGAGGCATGCCGTGGCTGGAGACGAGCTCTACCAGGACGAGAGGAAAAAGAAAGAAAGAAAAATGACCTTAGTGGAATATAGTTTCATTTACGGGGTCTGTTCTGTCCGGGACAATTTCATACCATAAAAACGGTTTGCAATGCCCCTTATATGTGTTTTTAAGGGTCAACTTTTAAGGAATCTGCTAGAGATGCTCTTAGTGCTTCCCCACTGCACACTGCTACCTGCTGTGTGACGACAGCCGCAATGGTAGAAATGGATGCCACGATCACAAGAGGGCTACAAAGCTATGTCATTCTCCTGCATCAAAGATGCATAGTTGTTCATGACCGCAGAAGTGGAAAGAGCTGAAATATCCCCTGCCTGCGAGGTCACTACAAACGGAAGAGTAGGCTGAACTAAAAACGCTGTTCAATTTGTGTTTGTTTTAGGTTATTTCAGTTTTGGTTATTATGTGATGTCGAGAGCAAATTTTGCTGGTGGAAATTGAAATGCCAATGTGAAAAGGTACTGTACAATTTCTTTTTTTTTAAAGAACATAAATATAGACAAACGAGTCCGCAAAATATAGAGCTCGGATTATGATGACTTTAACTTTGCGCACGGCCTTGGTAGCTTTCAAAAAATTGCAAACACCTCCAAAATGATATAAGAGGATATGAATATGACGCGTCTGTTAGACTTACTCTAAGAGCATCTATAGCCAGGCACCCCAAACCCCCCTCAAACGCTCGGACGGACAGTCCGGTCAATAAGCGGTCAAAAAAACCCTTCCCACATGGACGCATAGCACCAAGTATGGATCTAGAGAATGAAATATGAGAGACTCAGATGCATAGCACCAAGTATGAGGTGTGATCAGTTAGTGCTGATCGCGTCTGCGGCCGTTTGAGGAGTCAGATTTGTCAAATCTGGCTATAGATGCTATAATTTTATGAAATTTCTCTAGAGAAAAGATCGAAAATGCTAGAGTGGGAGACCACAGAAGACGCAACGACCTGGCGCCGAGGGCATAGTGGTGTGACGTTTTACATTTTTCTTGCCGTTGACGCATTGACCGTTAGATGCATGCGCGCTGTTTGACTCCAACGCCTTCAGACGCAAACCATTCCAGTGACCAGGTCATTCTCTTACAGACTGGCACATTCAGAAGCCCAGATCACAGAGGCAGCACGTAGCACGAACATCGCAAAGAGGCACGGAATTCGGATCTGAGGTATACGTGATTGCTTTCTCTCGATATATTACTCTATCTAACTGGAGACCAAGAACGACGTATATATATACATACAGTACGTCTCTTTATTTCTTCCAATTTACCAATAGTCCGAAACGGTGGATAAACTTGCAGCCTCTCCATATGGCGAACTCGGCATCTGGCTATTTGGCAATTACATGATGGCGCAGGGGGTGGTGGGCTCGTCGCACACGACCATGGGCGGCGGGTATGGCCCATATGGGTAGCCGTGGCACCACCAGTACGGCGGCGGGTCCTCCTTCTTCTCATCCTTCTTCTTGTCGTCCTTCACTTCCTCCACCTTGACGAGGTGAACGTCGTGGTACTTCTTGCGGAGGCAGCCGACGAGGCACACCGGGTCGACGCCGTTGCCGACCACCTCCAGCATGTCCTTGCTGTCGCCGGTTATCCCCACCGAGCTCACCCCTGCACCCAGAGAACGCTTGCGGCCATGTTAGCATTGCACCAGTACAAATCTCAAGGGAGAACATGCGTGTACGTGAAGAACTAGCGCATGCATGCATGCATGCATACCGTTCGCTCTGGCGACCATCGTCATGGCTTTCGACCGGCTCTTGTCGCACGACATGCTCACCTTGATCACAATCTTTTGCTGCGACGACGACGACAACAACAGCAAGGTTCAGCTCAAGAGCTAGCTAGTAAGAGCTCAAAATCAGGCAGAAGCTGAAGAAGCTATTTACCTTCATTGGGTGCCGCTGGTTTGTTGTTTAGATGCCGGCCAAGGAGAATATTTGGAAAGCTTGTGTTCGATCGAGGCGTCTTATGATGTCTGTGGAGAGCACAGCAATGGCCACTGCTGTTTGTTATATAGTACAGGGCAGTTACGTGGGGTCGGGGACTCCAAGCCACTAGCCACTAGCTTTGTTGTAAGAAGACCAATTACGTGGGATAGTAGACCTGGCACTAGTGAAGACTGGAGACTGATCTAAGCCACCAGCTTTGTTGTAAGAAGATTCCCGGCAGCGGCAGCGGCTAAGCTCACGGTTAGTGAACAACAAGGATCCAAAAGTAAGTAAACGCGTCCTGAGCACGAGCTCTCTCGGTTGATTTTTCCGGTCATGGACGGGATACATTAGAAAATGACTCCTCCAATGATATGTCTGAGCGAGCCATCAATTGTAACTGCCTGTTGGCCACGGTGCGCTTCCCTTCTGCGAAGCCGCGGCTCTGCGGATGTACTTACGTAGAACGGGCCGATATCTGTTGTTCCGTCGAAAATCTGTCAGTGCCCAGTGGTAAATAACTGCCTAAGCAAAACCATATTAAGTGTGAGAACTAGGCAAGCAACTCAGTGATATGTCGTATGGGCGCAACCCTACCGACAAAGGATTTCACGGTGCCCCTCCTTGCTGGACTCTGTCAAACCTAGAATAGTCCATGTGTACCTGGCAGAACATTGAAATATAAGCTTGAAGATTTCAGTGGTTAGTCGACGTCGATCGGGTCTTGCTACTGAAGACTTGTTGACAGAGGTCATTTTTTTGTTTATATACAGAAGACTTGTTGACAGCGGTCAAATATTACTCAGAATGAATATGGTTATGGTAGTCTGATTACAAATATATTCCCACAAAAT